AAGATCAGAATCCACTAGTAATTAGCTATGTACTTGTTAAAAATAAAAAACCTGATAAGATCAGAAAACACTAGTAATTAGCTCTGTACTTGTTGATAATAAAAGCCTGATAAGATCAGAATCCACTAGTAATTAGCTATGTACTTGTTAAAAATTAAAAGCCTGATAAGATCAGAATCCACCTGTTAGCTATCTAAATGTATAAAATAAAAGCATCTCAGCTGAAATGTATCTGACTGTATAGTTGCTGCTGAAGAGGACATCATATGTAGAGTCAAGTATCAACAGTAAACAATATTCCCTCTTTAAACTGTAAGTTTCATTAATCTGGTTCACCTTCTTTTAGTTTTTATATATTTTATATGTCACATTGGACCAGCATTTTATAACTTAATGTAAAAACTTTTCAAAATGTTAAAATGAAGTTGATACAACTATTCTACAATGAATTACATCGGAATGAATATTTACAGTAAAAATAAACGTTTGTTAAGCTGTTGCTGTTTTTCAAGTCCAATTGGATTAGATAATTCGGTTGGAAGTGTAGTTTTATTAATTATTCTGAAAACAAGTCTTTCATTAAACAGATGAGATGGACAACTCTGTGGAGGCCATACTGGAAGGGGAAGAGTCAGAAGGTCGGGATAAAACTGTAAGTGCATCACATCAGGTGATTCAAGAGAAGCACAAAGAAATCAAGAATGGGTACGAAAAGTTAGTGAAATATGTTGTTGAAGGCCCTGAAAAAACTGAGTTTGAGGAAGTCCGTGTTCAGCAGCTATGGAAGTTGGCCCAAAAAGCAGACTTCACTCCGAGTGAGTTATCGTCACTAAAAGTAAGTTCAACATCCTGAAAAATTTCCATTCAAATATAAAATGCAGCTAAATCTTTAACTCTTTCCATACCACCAAAGTAACTATTAGATTAATCGCACTATAACTTTTGATAATGTGTGCATATCTTTATGAAACTTCACAGACTATCAGTAAACATTACAAAGCTTTTGTACACAAAAAATCATAATTCAATATTTTGATTAAAGATTTCCTCCTGAATTTTTGCACTCAGAATTTTGACCATCCAAAAATGCAAAGTGATTTTGATTTTTAGATTGAAAATAGGTTTTTTCATCTGAAAATTGTCAAATTTCATTTTTGTAATTTCTAAAACCTCCTAAATAAAACCATTTTTTTCACAATAACAGTATTTTATCTGTAATTTTCTTTACCCTACCTCTGTATGGGGTCAGTCAAATTGACTGACATCAAAACCATCATAAAAAATTAGGAATTAAATCTAAATTACCCTTTATCTTTCTAGAATCACTGCAACTTGTAACATGAAAATACAGTTGTTTATCCTAAATAGCTTAAATCTCGTAACAGTCTACATCTGTTTTATTGATCTTTAAACCATTTACAACTAATAATCTTGCCACACAAGTTGTAAATCACTCGGGAAACATGCAACTGATGCTACTTTATAAAATTACATAATGCACAAGCTGCTCACGAGTAACAGGGCTGTGTATTTCATTACATTCATAAAGATTTGAATGATACTTTCTCATCAGTGAAATGTGTCAGTGGTAGAAGTAACTAATTACAGGGGCTGTATCAGTGACAGATGTAACTAGTTACAGGGGCTGTATCAGTGACAGATGTAACTAATTAAAGGGGATGTATCAGTGATAGTTGTAACTAATTAAAGAGGCTGTATCAGTGATAGAAGTAACTAATTACAGGGGCTGTATCAGTGACAGATGTAACTAATTACAGGTAAGTACTATATTTTTTTATTTTTCATGTGATTCTTTATCTATTATTATAAAATTAACTAAACTGTAAAAGTTAGAAATGTATTAGGTTAGATAAGGTTAGATATGCATAAAAAAATGAATAATACTAATAATAATTCTTCATGAGGAATTTAATTAGTTACATCTATCACTGATACAGTCAGTGACAGATGTAACTAATTACAGGGGCTGTATCAATGATAGAAGTAACTAATTACAGGGGCTGTATCAGTGACAGATGTAACTAATTACAGGGGCTGTATCAGTGATAGAAGTAACTAATTACAGGGTCTATATCAGCGATAGATGTGACTAATTACAAGGTCTGTGTCAGTGATAGATGTAACTAACTTACAGGGGTACAGCCTATATAATTAGTTACAACTATCACTGATACAGCCTCTTTAATTAGTTACATCTATCACTGATACAGCCCCTTTAATTAGTTACATCTATCACTGATACAGCCCCTTTAATTAGTTACATCTATCACTGATACAGC